CCTAGCGGGCCGATCGCGGTTCAGCTGTTTGAGGGCCCGTGGCCCGGCGGGCCGGGCCGGGCCAGGCCCGGACCCGGTACCTGGCCACGTCTAGATGAAAGATGTAATATATTGGAAAGATGTCATATTTCCAAGACGTTACAATGTCAGAAAACAAAAAGAGTGATATATCACAAAATTGGAAAAACTTACTAGATAAATATCTATTAACTATTTAGATATTTTATCTGTTTAAATTATCAATATTAATTAATTTTATTATATTAAACTAAATATAGAAAGAATAATGAGGTATAATCCCCCTTATATATTAATTCAGAACGAATCTACGTGACTGTTTCTGATGCTTCGGAATCATATGTGGCAAAGCTTGAGTAAATTTTAATTTAATTCCAAAACAAAAATAATTAGGTTCGGATTGGGAACTATTCCCTTATATAGAATACAATAGAACGAGGGCAGTTAAGCGGATATGGTAAAAGAAGGATAAATATGTTGATTATTTATGGTCATGTTACATGTATTAATTGCATTTTAATATCATTTCTTATTATAACTATTGAATTGTATATATATTTTAAAAGTTAATAACTTTTGTATTTTTTTATCAGTTTTACATATGTAATATATCAAATTAATCTTCTTTTGATGAGCTTCTATTAACATCCATATTGTATGTATAAAAAAATAATTTATATTTATCTTCATAACAATAATAAAATTATTTTTAATATTAATTAGAAAAATAAAATTATTTATCAACTAATATATTTATTAATTAGAGTTCGGAAAAATAAAATGAGTCGCTCGTGAGCTCGACTCGTTATGGCTCAAGTTCGGTTCGACTCGTTTGATAAACGTGTCGAGCTCGAGTTCATTTGTCCTATTTGGTTAAGCTCTGCTCACTAAGGCTCGAAAAGATAAGTTTTATGTATCTTTTTATAATTCGGCTCACTCGATTCCGACTCCTTAAAGCTCAAGATTGACTCAATAATAACGGTAAACGAGTCGGGTTCAAGCTTGATTACGAGCTCTGTTCGCAAAATATTTTCACTACCCGCAAGTGTACGGTGTAGTTGTAGAAAGCGGCGAGCAAGGTCGTATTCCACAGAGATTGTTGTTAAAATAATTAAGTACCAAAATATAGATGATTAAATATTATTTAGACTAACTCGAATTTGAATGGTGATTTTGTTCTAAACTAAAAATTGAATGCAAAATAAATTCTTAACACTAAAGAAGGCTTATTCTAAATAAATCAAGTATGAGAAAATAGATTCTAGACTATGTTTTCCTCGGGATTATTCTAACAAAGTTTTCTTATTCATTCAAACCTTATTTAATTCTACCAATCGTAGGGATAATCGCTAATGTAATTTACACCTTTCTCTCGAACAAGTTAAATCGTAGATAATAATTGTTATCTATCTCCTCTCGGTTTCAAGATGAACAACTAACTCCCATAAGTTCTTAAGATTCTAGTTCCCTCGCAAGATTCTATCAACCTCTCGGTCTGTTTAGTCTCTTACGTTATGAATTTCCCAATTCTAGCAATCAACTATCTCCTCTCGGTCTCAAGTCAATCACAAATATGCATAAATACGGGCCTTATATTCACACAATTCATATAAGCACAAGAAATTGATAAACGAAAGGTAAATCGGAATGAATAAATAAAATCACTTCATAAAATAATCCGAGTACTCGTAAATCCTAGAATCTCAAAGAGGTTTAGCTACTAAACATATTCTCAAAACTCAAAATAAACAAATCCATGAGTTCAATGAAGAAGAAAAATAGAAAAGAAAAAAGAACTATTGTCGTCGTTAGTTCCCGAATCTTCAATCTTGACTTCCTCGAATCCCTCGTGTGTTTCGTGCTTTCTCTAGGCCTCCAATGGTGTCAAAAGTCTCAAAACCGTGTTCTCCAAGTTCTTTATATACTGTAGGGCAAATATGGGTCGAAAAAGGGGATAAAATCGCGTAAGAATCCTATTTCCCGCTAGTCAGTCTACGAGTCACACGACTCGTGTCACATGCCACAAGAGTCGTGTGACTTTCCTCGAATTTTCGACTAACTCCTAGACTCACACGACTGGTCACACGACCGGGTCACACGACCCGTGTCAGTAAGCCACATGAGCAGTGTGAAAATGCCGTAGCTAATTCTCCATTCTTTTCACCCCACACGACTCATGTCACTGACCACACGAGTCGTGTGACCTGCCTGCACCTTGTTTTTGCCATTTTTCGTCTCAATTCCATCTTTAACGCTCTTTCGGGCATATTTCCTACAAAACCAACGACAAATGTACCTCTATCATAGATTAATAAATCAAACAAAATGGTGCACAATTCCACGATAAACACAGTTAAACATCACACTATATCACTCATAATGCATGAAATTATGATGAATGTCAACTCGTTATGTTAACGAGTCGAGCTCCGTAGATGCAATCAGTGGTTCTGGGAAGCGAATTTTGGGTTTAATGGTGGATCTAAGGTAATTTGGGGAAAAGTGATGGCTTGTTTTCACCAGGTGATGTTGTCGAAATGTTATATCTTTGTTAAATATAAAATTAAATGGTTATAAATTACTTGTAAGGGTGTAAGATAATGTTTGTATGTTATATTCATGAGTGTAACTTGAGTTACACAATGCATAAATTAGAGATAAGTTTCACTACATTTCACGTCATGGGATGAATTTCACATTATAAGGTTAAAACGTTTAATTAAACTAATTAAACAAGTTGCAATTTAATGTGTTTAATGGTTCTTCATTAAAGAAGAAGAGTTGTAACATTAAGAATCATACAGTTGTAACCACGCGACAAGTGGCATCCATATATACTTTTATTCTTTGTGAAATCTTATGAAAAAAAGTAAAATCTTGATCAGTCCAAAAATT